TCTTTGAAAATCGTAAATAAATATAATAATTTGACTTTAACGACTGAATTTTTTTAAAAAAAACGGGATATTTATAAATAAATAAATAAAAAAAACGAAACTTTTAGAGAATCTGAGTTTTTGATAAAAAGGCTGAAATTCGAGAGACAAAAGCAAAAAGAATCTCATCCCTGTATAAAGGTCAACCAGTTTTATCCTAAGGAAATGATTTTTAGAGAAACTTCAGAGGGAGGAATGACGACTTCAATAATTTCGCTCCGCGGAAAATTAAATTCCTCATAAAATATTTTAACTTGTGCAAAAAAAAATTTCAGCGGAAATTAGCGGGAAAAATGGAAAAATCTGATAAAAAGCGGAAATCCGCGAATCCGGGAAGAATCTCATCCCTGCATTGTCAATATCTACTCTCCCCACAAAATGAAAGAGAATTTTTTTTTTTTTGAATGGGTTTAATTTTTAAAATACCTTAACAATAAAACATTTTTATTTGATTTTGAAAGAGAAAATTATATATATCAATAATGTAGTTCATTATAATTTTGTTGCATCATAATGTATTATCTATTCTATATTGCTTAGATATCAGAGATTGGTCAGATATTGCTTAGATATCAGATTTCTTCCATTGTAATTATAATATTTAAATTTTACGCTATAACATATTTTTTTTTTATCCTCATCATTAAGCTTTTAGCAATGATTAAATGTAAATTTAAACCAACCTATTTATTGCAAAAATAGAAAAATTTTTACATTTAAAAAGTTTATTTTAGGTTTAAAACTAAAAGAAAAATTAAAGAACAGAAGTCACTAATAAGTAAAGCCCAAAAACTCCGAAACTACAAGGCCATGAGCGTGGACACTGACAAACAACTCTGCCCCTAGATGGGGCATCAGAAAAATACTGTGGCCAGGTAAACTGACAGATACAACGGCAACACACCACGCCTCCCCCAATGAGTCCCCAACCTCGGGCCTACCCTAGCAACTGCAATGTTGCCACCAGAGCTAGGTCCCATCATCTGACCTCATCTCCTAAGATGCCTAATTTATTGTTTATTTATTACGTCACAATTTAGAGAAACATATAATTTTAGACAATTACTATTATTAAGAGCAGTGTTTCCCAAAGTGTGGTAAGCGTACCCGCAGGGGTACGGGAACAGTTTTGTGGGGGTACCCGTTCTTATTCGAAATATCTTGCAACAAACAAAAATTTCAAAAAATTTTATTTAAAAACAAAGCTAGTCATGAAAATTTACGGTTACATACTTTTCTATTGGCTATTTTTTGCTGAGTTAACAGTTAATAATGAGTGGTGTCAAGAGCCAGTTGTGATTTTTAACTTTTGCGCAATTTTTTATAGTAAAAAATACATTCATTTTTTTAGTGGTACACAGTGTTACGAAAAATTTAGAAAGGGTACACTAAAGTCATAAGTTTGGGAAACACTGATTTAAAGAAATAGATAATTTCAGACATTGTGTAACTATTGTAGAACATTGACTATTCACATTTAAGATCCATGGGAGCTGAATGCCAAAAACAATGTCAAAACAGAAGAAGCGTTGCTAAACATTACATATTATGAAGACATATCAAGATAAACAAATACATTGGATGAGATAAAATAGGAAAAACACTAATATGATAAAGAATGGGAAGTCAGAAAAATTACATACATGGATTAAAATTTGAACACGATTTTCATTTAAAAAATTGTTAATAACAACTATATATGATTTTTAATAACAGTTGCCAAAAATGATTACATTTAAAATTTGTAGTGATTATGCATATGCACATAAGTTTGATATTAAATAACAGTAGACTATAATCAGGATATGACATTTTGTTCATATAGTTGCATTAAATTAAATATGGCTTGCTAGTAGATATATACAAGATTATTAAGGTATTATGTATACATTTTATAAAAACTTGATATAATGTAATAATAATAATCGTAATAAGTTCTTCCACAGCATGATCCGAAACTTTGCTTAGGCTTATAATTATAATCATGAATACTTAACATGAATTATTAATTGTCATAATTACATTCAATCATGACTTACACAGGCTCAAGTTAATCAAGCATTTTAAATATGCACATAAATACAATGCATCTATTGATCTTTGAACATTAATGCATGAGGTCAAAATTATATGTAATTGGAGGTTTTCATATTTGCAGATGGTGATAGATATTATTAGATAAGTTCTCATTAATTATATTACAAGTCAAACAGTTCATTTAATGTTTTTTCTAAGAACCCAATATTGATTATTATTAAAGTAAAAACATGAAATAGATATATTAAACTGTTAATTGGAAATTACTATGATATTAATGTATAGTGCAGAAGTAATGCTTTAAAAATAAATTTAAGGAAAAACATTTTCTCATTTATTTTAACATGCTTGAACTTTATGTTAATCAATATGTTTACTAACATATTACAATATTAAATAAAAAAATGGAGAATGAAAAAATTTTAAATCAATTTAAAATAGGCTTTTTTTTAATTAAAAAAAATGATTTTTAAACTATTACAATGACATGTAGTTGATACACGTTTGTCTATACCAATAACAGAAATTTTTTAAAAAAATAATAAAGTATAAAATTCCGAAAGTCATTTAACTCCCATTTATACTTTTGATTCCAGCAAACATAATAGATCTTTAATGAGATAAAAAAAAAATCCACTAATTTTTCTCTTCTTAACTCACTTAAAACATTTACAATAAAAACATTTACTTAAAATAAAGGCTTTTTTAAAAAGTAAAAAGAATGAGTTGGAAAAAATCAACAGAATTAGATAAAGTAAATAAATTATTAACGAAAAGATAAAATATGTTTCATAGCTAAATGAAAAAAAAAATAGCTTGTAATTTCAAGATTGTTAAAAAATTAAGCTTTCATAGTAAAGATTTTCTGCTTTAAATATCAATTAAATTTTTCAACCTGTATCTCCTTCACCATTTTCTCCAAAACAGCTAACTTCTTGGTTACTTGATAAAGGTGAATGAAAATGGTGACTGTGGAGATTTTTTTTAGTTTGTAAGTGTTCCAATCTTATAGTCATTCCACATGGTATAGGTTCCCTAGATAAAAATGAAAAGATAATACATTTAATTTAAATAAAACAATTTAAAAAAATGTTTTATAAATATCATACAGAGTCAACGATTTTATCAAATGAATAGAATCAACTATTTAAATCACTATTTTAATCAAGAGATTGAGTAATTGATTCTTTTTAAAGTAATAAAATAATTTTAAAGTTTTTATACAAATATTATTATATATATTGACAAATAGAATTTAAGAAAAACACTTTTAATTTAAGCAAAACAATTAGATTTTTTTAAAGAAAAAAAAAACAAATATTATTTTATAAAAATCATACAGTGTCGATGATTTGCATCAAATGAGAAGAATCAACTATTTAAATCAAGATTTTAATCAAGAGATTGATTCTTTTTAGAATAATAAAATAATTTTGAAGCTTTTATAGAACTATTATCATACATATTGATAAATAGAAAATAAATATGTAACATTTTTTCACATCTATGCATAGGTATGCAGATGATCTTTTGCTTCTTTTTTATTTATAAAAAAATATAGCAATAGTAAAAGTTCGATTTGTATATTTTTTTTATTGGCAGTGTGTATGAAAACAATGTCATATTTTTTAAAAAATTTAAAGTAATTAATTATATTAGATATTTTTCAGTTTTACGTCAAGTCATTAATAACATCAAATACATTTCAGTGTGAAATTGATACGTTAACTGATTACAGAAAGGACAAAAAAAAAAACAAAAAAAAAATAGTTCAATAGAAAATCTCTAAAAACCTTAACACTAGGTTTTTCCAGTTTTCATGTAACACAAATATTTAATTTGTGGATGCTAGTTTGCTCCACAACTTGAGTTGAGAATTATTTGGGCTTGAATTTGCCTTTAAAATTGCCAAATAAGAAGGTGAACTTCACTGTTTCGAATTTTTTTCTAGTATATTTGTTCATTGATATTAGCAATACAGAAAAACTCAAATATTTCAATACAGGGTTGCCACAAAAAAAAATGAACAAAATAGTTGCTTTTAGTAGCCTAAAGTATGAAAATAGTTGCCTAAATAAGAACAGAAATTCAGCAAAAATAAGACTGAAATTTTATTAAATGACTTAATTGTCATATACCATGATACATTTAGTCAAGTTGGTGGCAAATACGATAATTTTTATGTAAACGATAGTGTTCTAGCACTAAATTTTTATATAAAAAAATTAGTATATTTGCAGAAAATTAAATACTTTTAGTTACTAGACTTCATTCAAAAAATACTTTTTCATTAAAAAAAAAACACACTTTTTCTAAGAAATTTTTCCTTTCATATCAATAATTGATTTAGCAAATATATATATATATATATATATATATATATATTGTGAAAAGTGATTACTCAAATTCAAAATTCATGTATCGTATTAAAAATTGAGATTTTTAAAATCACGCAGAATTTCTGAGCAATAAGCGTTCAAAAGGCAATCGAGAAATGAAATAGACTTAGAATCTATGCAAATTGAACGCATTAAAAAGTGATGACTCAAATTTGCAATCTAAAACTTTTTATTCTTTGATGTTTTAATTATTTATTTAATTTTTTTAAATTTTATTATATTTATTTTACATTTCCTAAGAAAAGAAATTCAGTGTCTTCAGAAGATTTCGCAAGCTGCAGGTTTTTAATCCAATTATGCTAAAAAAAAACATTGCTAGGAGTACAGAAAAGTCTCCTAATAGTCTCCTTTTCCTGAAAATAGTTGCTTTTTTAGTCTTTTCAGGCAAAAAAAAGTTGCCATAGTCGCCTCATGCTGAAAATAGTTGCAAATAGCTGCATTTTAGTCGCCTGTGGCAACCCTGCAATACAGTAAAATACACAATTTATGACGAGCACTGAATGAGGATTAAAGAAGTGTGACAAGTACTTTTTCTGTAGAAACCATAACGCGGACAAAAATTATCTCCAGTCATATGGAATGAAGATTAGTCACATTCCCATTGCACAAAATTCATGTGTTTTTGCATACTTCTTGTCTACATAATTAAACTTGAGGCTTATTAGCTTAATACAATTACTTCGGAAAGATGTGTTTGCGTCTTCGGAAAGAACTTTTCAAAGTTGTACCTTGGCAACCCTAACCTCGAGGCAAATTAAACCTAATAATTTGTAGTATAATTTTAAGTTGCTAAGCTAAATTAATACTATTTGGATACTTCAAAAGTCATAGATTTTAATTTTCAAAACAATTTAAATACAACAATAAAATTTACAATTGATACAAAAATATTCATCGACTTACCCACGTTTACATGTTTTTCCACTTTTTCCTTTGACTACCCAATGACTATTCACATCATCTGTGTCAGTAATAGCAGTAACAGACTACATAAATTAAATCATTATTATTATTAAAATAAACTGTACAAATATAATCACAACATAGAGAAAGTAAATGAAATGAAAAAGTATTACATAGAATTTCCTATACTTAAATAATGTTAAGTTTACAGAAGGCAAACATGCAATTTTAAAACTGAAGATAAATTTTTTAAACTTTATACATGGAACAGAAACTAACTGTTTAGAGACCTTTTGCAAAATTTCTCACATTTATAGTAGATTTCACTTTATGTAGTACTAAACCAACATTAGCGATTCTTATCAGTTCAATTTAGAAGATCAGCGAAGGATATATTACATAGTTATAATAATTAAAGGGACCAGATGATTTATACATATTGATCTACCAGGGTTATTTCCGTATCCTGATCCGTTGCGCCAACGACAATCGGCAAATAGATTTTAAACTTGCAAATATTTAAAAAAAAAAAAAAAAAAAATGTAGATGCTTGCCCTGGGGGTATATATGAGTTATACCTTTAGAAATGGCCCCTTTCTGTGATGTTTTTTTTTTAATTTCTCGCGGGCCATTGCCCGGAAGTTTCCAAAACTTGGTGATGATTCTGCCACAAATCACAATACGGAAATCTAGACATGGCGATTTCCGGTCATCGGGTTGCAGGAAATTGGAAGGAAAAAAAATCGGTACCTTTCCAATTTACTGGTGCAAGTAATTACCGCTATTTTATCCATTTATTATTTATTAACAAAAGACGTCACTTAAATCAAAATAGTCGAATTTACTTCAACTTAGTAACTTTGCAATGGCGACTTGGTGAAATGAAAAAGTAGCAAAAAATCTAAGAACGAGACCAACTCGAAGGGTATAATAACTCGTAGCCACCCTCCGACCCTTACGTTCCTTTCATTTTTTTTTTAAAATAACAAGTTTGAAATCCATTTGGTGACATGGGTCAAACATATTGATCAAGGGGTCAAACATATTGATAAGGTAAAAAAAATCACCTGTTGACCACTGCCAGAGCCGTACTTAACTTCATGAGAGTGAAGCCGGACTTTCAGTTGATTGTTTATTAATTTTATGACCGATCCACAAGTAACATGAGGATATAAATCTGAAAAAAATAAAACAATGTTTACACAAACAATAAAGCAATTCATAAACTCAATCAAAAAGTACTTAGGTATCGTAATATTACCTGAAAACGCAGAAGGTAAAAAGAAAACATTTATTAAAATAGTGACTGAATAGCTTAAAAGTCTATTTAAATACATGGCTCCGGATTATAGATCACAAATAAAAGCAAAAATATCTATTTTCAGAATAAACATAACATTTCGTCAAACTATTATTAAATTTAATGTAACTTTTGTTTCTCACTTCTAGCAGAAGCTTGTTTTTAACTTTAAAATGTGTGATGAATCATCTTTTCGGCATATTGCCACCAATTATATTCATAAAATTCTAATTGTATTCGTCCAGGTTAGCAGTTAAAAGCCTATTTTTACTAAAGCATCCACACAATTTTTCGGTGAGAGGCATTGGCGATCGAAAGGGCTACAGATGACTCAGAGAAGAGCCGAATTTCGCATATTTTCAGAAGAAAGTACGTTCTGCACCAAACATAGTTCTAAAAAAAAGCGCTGTTGAAATTTTAGAGAATATTTTTGACAGTTAAATAGGAGAAATATTATGGAAATGGAGGGTCAAGACAAGTCACTCCAAAATAGTTCCAAAAAACGACGCACTATTACTTGTCTTCCACATATGGCGCTAACAGTAGGAGTAGTCTGAGTTTTCGGGACATTTTTCTATTCTTAACATGGCAATCAAAGAGTCGCACTCGTCACCTATTTTCATCATTTAAATAGAAAGTAAATAATATTGGAGATGAATATTCTAAAATGTATACAACAAATAGTGTGATTTTCTAAAAATACAATATAAAGATTTTTTTTTTTTTAGGCGATGAAAGAAATTTAAAGTTAATTAAAATCAAGCCCCACAAACATAGAGATTAGGAATTTAATCACAGAGGTTACGTGAGAGCATTTTGTTCGCATTATCTTTAAAACATTTTAAACTTATTGATCAAGTACTAAACAGTTATTTTAAATTTATATATATATTTATTTCGAATGTATTAAACTATATATTTGAATCTATACATTTAATTAAAATTCTGATAATTAAAATATTATAAAAATCTATTTAAAGTAAACATTTTTATAAATCAGTACCTGATACATTTCAACTTTGCATTAACAACTGTGGCTTTTCTTTTAATCTAATGAAAATAAAAGCAAATTATATTCTACTTTTTTTTTCGTTACCTATAATATAGAAGTAAAAAATTAATAAAATTCATAAATTTAAAGTCTCGCAGTGGACTGATCGATAAGACACGGTTCCCAGCAGATCACCGAAGTCAAGCATCACTGGCTGTGGTCAGTGTGCGGGTGGGTGACTACTTGGATCAGTCTCCGTAGGGAACGAGGGTGTGCGGTATTGGTCCTCGTTAAACTGTGCTACCGTAAAGTGCTCGACTTCGCTCGCAGGTCGTCGGGCTACCGAAGCGGGGGTGCCATCCCCTCCGCAGAGGAACAAAATTGTGATGGCATGTCTTCGGATCATCCTCCGGGATGTTTCCCAGACCGTCGCCAATAGCCCATTGTGCAGCTCTAGTGCGACGTAAAATTAACAATAACAATAAATTAAAAATTTTTTTCAATTTTGGCAAAAATTTGTTCTAATCTATTGAAGAAAAATATAACTTTCCAAATTTAAAATGACTAAGAGTTTTAAATATTTATCAATTCGTAATAATTATCAAACGTTCAATTTAAGTAAAAAATAGAATTATTGAAATTGTATTAAGTTCCTTACATTGAAAATTATGTTGATTTCATGAATAAATAACGTTTATATAAATTGATATCAAACTAAAAATTATTTTTACTAGCAAACATATATGTATGAAGTAAATCTTTATATTTATATCATATATACAAAATATCAAATGTGTAAAATCTAAAATATTTTAAAATTTATTTATTATTCTAAATTGGAACAAAATTTTATTATAATGAAAGAAAAGTCTTTCTCTTTCTCTATACTTCGGGAAAATATATAATATTTCGGGAAAGTATATAATAGGAAGTATTAGAAAGATTTAAATTAGTAAATTAGAGACTTTTTAAAATTTCACTGTAACTACTTAGCCATAATGAAGGAATTTAATTATTTTAAATTACCAAAAAACTGTCTTAATTACAAAAAAAATCCTCTTCCATCGATATACGTATAAATCTCAAAAAAGAAGAGACATTAAAATACTAGTCTCATTAAAAGCTAGTTTTCTGTATCATATTTTTTTCAAACTCACTTTATATAATAGTAACTAGAGGAAGGCACCACTAAGAAAATGGGTAGAGCATGAACTTGATCCCCGCCGGCCGAATACTCCCCGTGTAGTAAATGGTGACTGGTGCACGTTAAATCTGTCAGGGCACAAAGGCCTCCATGCAGTCCTCTGGGGTACTGATGGAGAGTGGTCGTTCTTTGGTTCAGGTCAATGAATAAATGGCTGCATGAATGGGTCCACCTGAAATCATATTCTTGGCCATACATGGCGTCACTGAAAAAACCAAAAACGCACCCTCTGCATTAAATTCGCTTGGTTTCGTCAAACGGGTTTGCTGATATTGGCAAGTGACATTAGAAACAACAGCAACAACATAACTAGGAACACACTCAACACAGTGAGAACAGGTCGAGCCAAATGGCCTTTAAATACTCCAGATACAGTAGTCCGGAAATATGAGCGCTAAAGAGCCTGCAACCTTAAAGAGAATGCCATCCTTAAATAAGTATTTAAATAGGAAAAAAAAGAACTTTTAACCGTTACTTCAATAGCACCCGGCTTCATCTGATCAAGTAGGAGAAAATCTGGTTTTAGAATATTTCCATAGGGTAGAACATAATTTTTTTAACGTTTAAAGTTATTTATTTTTTAGAACTAACTAAAGGATTAAATTATCATTCAAATAAAAATTTAATCAGTATTAGCTACGTGGGGGAAAAAGAGAAGACATAAGGAGTAGGTTATGTCCAACTTTTTCCAATGAAATTTTGGTCTGCACTTTATTAATATGTTCTAAGAATAAATCTTTTGTTGTAGAAAAATGTGTAGGAAATTTAGATACATTTAGATAAGAGAATTCATGAAAGAAATTCACGCTCCCATGAGATTCGTGCTTTTATAATTACCGCTCAATGTTATTACAATGCTCGAAGAAAATCTCAAACTCTATTCATGGATTTCAATTCAAATTCGAAGACAATTTCAAACTCTATTATGGGATTTTATTAATATACAGTCCCACAGTGGACTGAACGTAAAGACACGGTTCCCAGCAGATCACCGAAGTCAAGCATCACTGGCTGCTGTCAGTGTGCTGGTGGGTGTACACGTTGATCAGTCTGCGAAGGGTCCGAGGGTGTGCGGTATTGGCCCTCGTTAAAGTGTTCTACCGTAGAGTACTTGACTTTGCGCGCAGGTCATCAGGCTACCAAAACAGAGGAGCGATCCAATCTACAGAGGATCAAATTGGTTGGTCAATACGAATCCACATCCGGCTTACACCAACCACAATGCTGACGGTAAATATCCTCAGTGGGAGATGGATCACGGGTTAGAGTCCTTTTTCCGTCAGGCTAACCGTGGGAGGTTCTCGTGGTATTCCTCAACATGTAACGCAAATGCGGGTTAGTTTCATCAAAAAGTCTTCCATGAAGAAAAATTTCTCCCAACACTTGATACAAAAGTTTCCTTGTTTTCTTGATTGAGATCAAATTACAAGACTACGGAGTTTAACATTAGTAGCCGGAAATCCAATAAAACTGGGTCGGCTGTCAACTACGGTTATAAAACAAAAACGCTGTCCTAAATCATCCTCTATATGAATATGGTTTAAAAATTTTAGTTTCTGTTAAATTTTATTTTGCTTGAGTCTTAACATTTTGGAATCTTAATTCTTCAGAAAACCCTAAATTAATTCAGTTTCATATGGAATACTGTAATAGTAAAAATAATTTCTTTACTTCGTACTAGAGTTGTACTATAGGAAATTGGCAACGGTCTGGTCTGAGGATGATTCGAAGAGAAGCTGTCACAATTTTGATCTTATGCAGAAGGGAAGACTTCCCCGCATGGGTACCACAACGACCAGCGATCGAAGTCGAGCACTTTGCGGTAGAACAGTTTAATGAGAATCGATACCGTGGCCCCTCGGTCCCTTCATAGGCTGATAAAAGTGGTCACCCACCGGTTCATCGACCACTATAGGTGATGCTTGACTTCGGCTGATGCACCAGGAATCGTGTCTTACGATTAATAAATACACTCTGGGATATGTAAAACAGTGCCCCCCAACCTTATAATCGCAGTGGACCGATCTACTTTTGATTATTTTACTGCGGCCGGCTGCGAGGAGGCGTTCATTATTTTCACTTTAGATGGTTTTCATTTAATAATTTCAAATTTAACTGCATTTAAACATTATTTTGAAACAAAATACAGGTCCCGCAGTGGGTAGATTGTAAAGACACGGTTCCCAGTAGAACACCGAAGTGAAGCATTACTGACTGTGGTCAGTAAGCGGGTGGGTGACCACTTTGATCAGCCTGCGTAAGGACTGAGGGTGCACGGTATCGGTTCTCGTTAAACGGTTCTATCGTAAAGTGCACGACTTCCCGGGCTGACCATCGGGCTACCAAAGTAGGGGAGCCATCCCCTCTGCAGAGGATCAAAATTGCGATGGCATGTCTTCGGATCATCCTCAGGGATGTCTCCCAGACCGTCGCCAATAGCCCATCGTGCAGCTCTAGTGCGACGTAAATAAAGTACCTACCTATCTACAAAACAAAATACAGTTACTACGCTCTACCGGTACGGCTTTATGTAACGTATGTTGGTTTTAAGTTTAATTCAGATAAAATTTTATCTCAGCTCTTACTTAACCTCTCGTCCATAGAGAAAAAAACAGTAAATAAGATGGATATAATTTAATGTTCCTTGGGCGGTCCGGCATCATTTGACCCACGGACCGGCACCGGTCAGCGTCTAAGGGGTTTTGAACACTGGTGGAAGAGTTTTTAACAAAAATGTACCGTGGAATGTTCTTACAATTATACATATCCATTTGTCGTTTAAATAAATAATCACAAACATTCTCTCGAATTACAAATCAAGCGTTTCCTCTCTAACTACAGAAAATAACAGATTACAAACGAGCCGAAATTTATCTACGCGCAATTTGTTTATCATACAAAGAAAACAAAAGTGAATATGATTTGCCATCATTCGCTTACGTATAAAGGCGATTTGTTGACTATTTATCTCCCATTTGCACGAAGTATCGGCAAGGTCGAAAAT